GACTGAGGATGTGGGAGAAACCAAAGTCTGTATGGAGAGGAAACACCTCTCTTAGTGTGGTGGGAAAATATGGATATACTTCTGAACTTGTAATCTTTTCAGTAGATCTAGCAAGAGGCAGAAAAATTCAAACAAAATGTAGGTTTTACAGAAGTGGTCCAGATATGATGCCAGACATTTGAGATGCGAATTTCTTGTAGCTGAGACCCTGTAGCATTATCCTGATGACCATCGGTTCTTGGGGTAGGGCAGAGCGATTTGTTCTCATGAGAGGGCTCTGGCATCTATGCACTTTGCAGTCTGTTTCGAGTGCTTCATGGGGTACCTGGCACAAGCGCTGCCCTCCTGCTGTCCCACTTGTCTCGGCTGCAGTGCACTACAGCTTCCCCATGTTTCCTCTTTGTGGGAACCAGGGCACTGGGGGAGAAACGGTACAAGGGTCTTGTTTTGATATGCATATGCCAGCGTGAGAACCATGGGGGATGAGAAGCAGTCTTTGGTCCTTTAGATTGTTTAGACATTAGCGTCCCACAGTCTTAAGTTGTTCCAGATGTTGAGCGCAGTTTATGACATGATTTTGGTTGAGGTTTTAATCAGTCCATTGCTGTTTTCAAGACATGCAACCTGATGCCAACGTCAGATTATGCAGCAGTGCCCCAAGGTTATGTTTCCAGCAGTGCAGTTCTGTCAGAGTGGTATTTGTGCTTGATGCTTCAGGTGCTCCCGATAACCTCACACTTTCACTCTCATGTGCTTTCACGTGTGCAGTGAGAGTATTAGAGGAATTCTGGAAGCTTTGGCAGCTTCTGGTCCTGCTGGCAGGTGGTAACATATTTTACCTGTGTCAGCGTGTTGGCTGTGTTTTTTAGGAAGAGGCCACGATTCCTCAGACTAGAGGACTAGTATAGGCATTGCTGGGTGTAATGCAATGGCTAGGGATTGGATTTACATCTGTGTTCTTACACTTACAAATCTACAAATAATATGGTATTTGCAGAAACGGCAAAGAGATTACATGTACTAAATGGCTTGTGTGTCTTTTTTTTAATCTCCTAATGGGCTTAAAGACCCTATAAATAGATGAGATTCAGAAACCTAACAGTCACTGTCTTAGAGATCCACAGACATGCAGATAAGATTTTTCGAGAACTCTTATCAGAGTTCTCTACTGCTCTGGTAAGAGTTTGTACAAATCATTTTATCTATGCGTTTAATCTTACAAAAATAATTCCTGTAATATTGCCACATCAGTAGTTCTCAGTTTTCTCTTTATACCTGGAATTTTAATCTTAATGTTTTTTCATCTTGAGGAGGAAAATACGATTGTATTTGAGCTTAATTTTCACTTCTTTTTCCAAGCAAAAGTTTTGAGCTCAGTTCTGTGGTTGGTGTGTTTAACTTTGGTCAAAACTGGATAAAAAGTGGAGTTCAGACTGACACTTACTCTGTAAATGGTCTTTCTTTTTTCAGGTGCAAGACACCCTGGGGGGTTACTCTGATAGTGTTAGGTGTGTCAAATGTGGCTATTGCTGTCTGAGCAATTAGTGTGAAAACCTGTTGAAGTGATTGGAGAGGAACAGGTACTCCTAGATCATGATTCGCCTTAAATGTTTACCTTAGGGTGAGGTGAATTATAGCTGAGAAATGCCTTTCCTCTCTATAAGCTATGACATGAGTCTAGATCGCTCATGGAAATTTAGGCTGTCGATGCTGTAAGTATATAATTTGAACAGACTCCAGTTTGTTGATCTTCCTCTGTGTACTGGGGGCCCAAAACCAGAGGCCTGTTATTTCAGATGTGGCTTTGTGAATGCCGGGCAGAGGGCAATAATCACATTCCCTGTATCTGCTGGCTGTGTTCTTGCTAATTTAGCCCATGGAGTTGACCCATCCCAGGTACAGGACTCTGCACTTCTTGTTAAACTTGCTCAGGCTTCTGTCAGCCCACTCCTGCACTTTGCTGAGATCTTCTTGAATGGCTGCCTGGTCTTCCAGTGTATCAACCGCTAGCCCCAGCTGGGTGTCTCTCTGTGGGCTTCAGGAGGGCTTGTTCTGTCCCATCATGTGCATTGTCGATACTAAATACTTGAGGCATTAGATGAGATTAGCCCCCAAATTGACTGCCTGGCGATGGGCACCACTTGCAGCTGGCTGCAGTAAGATTTTGAACCGTTGACCACCAGCCTTCGGGCCAAAAGGCCCATCTGGTTTCTCACGGACTTCGTGGTTCACCCATCCAGTTCATACTTCCCCAGTTTCTCTGCAAGAATGCTATGGGGGACGGCATTGAGACTGATGTTTGTGTATTGGGATCCCCTGTGTATTTTGATATTATTGTCACTATTATCAGACATCATGAAACGGGGCTCTACCCCATACTGTGTAGTCTTCCTGAGGGAAATCTTACATGGTGAAATTCTTATAAAATCAAGGAATTGTTATCATTGACTTCAGTGAGGCCAGTAATTCAGTAAAGATTTCACTTTCTGTGTCCTAATTACCTGCCTGTTGGGGAACATGGGTGAATTTGTTCTCTTTGCAGAATTTAAAAGCTTAAGTGAAAAGTATTTCTCTTTAAAGAGAATAGTTACTACTTTGTAGTAACTGTTGCACTATGTTTGAAAGAAAGCAATTGCAATTCAGTGGAAATTCTTTTCAAATCCCTATTTTTGATTTGAATTAGCTACTTCAGTAAGGAACGCAGTTTCATCTCATAAAGCCCATTTGACTGTATTGGAGCTGTGCCAGTTTCTACCAGCAGCTGCTCTTATGAAATAGCAAGCCAGTCAGGATCCTGAATTCTGGATTTCAGGTAAGGTATTTTTTCTGGAAATGTAGCATGTGGAAAAATGAAAAGGACGTGTATTTCTATTTCACTAGTAGGTCAGTATTATTATTTTACAGGCAAGATAATTGAGACACAGCACATGTTCTCTCCGTGTGTAGTGGTTAGAGCAGCAAAACTGACAAAGGTGGTATTCGGAAACATAGGAAGCACTTTTAAAGCCAGTGCTGTCATTTTTGCCTGTAATGTGTTACTTGTGAATATCGTTTTTGTGAAAAGCCAGTAGAGAGCTAGAAATCATGCAACTAGTAAAACATGCTTACGATGAATACTTCTCATGTTATATGATCTCTAAAGTGTTTGTTATAAAAATCTTGTGTATGGCAAGAAGGCTGCTCAGCCTGGAAGGAATGCGTGATTAGAAAATACGGTAAGAGTTAGCATTCGTTCATTGTTATTTGGTATCTCAGAGTATGTTCCCAGAGGAGAAGAAAATAATTGCTTCTGCTAAAAGAACTCCGTGATACTAGGGCCAGTTGCTACCTAAGGTGATGGGTAGAGAGGGAGCTAGACTGCCAGCTGCTTAAATTACCTGTAGCACTGGTTTGATTATTGAGGAACTTCAGTGTTACGTACAACCTACAGTGAGATTTTTATTGGAGTATTTGTAACTTTAGTAGCTTTGGTTTCAAAATTTTAATTAAGAAATTACTTTCTGTGTGTTTCCCCCCTGCCCCTTTAGATTTGACCTGTGTTGAATGAACTTTGTATTCTGAAAACTTGAGGAGGAGGTAGGTGCTTTTTCTGCCAGGAGTAATTGATTTAGCCAAAGTGGTGTTGCAAACAAACCCCTGGGTTGCCTGCAAATCAAGACGAGATTGAGAATCCCAGCAGTTGGGATAATGCTTCTTACCCAAGCTGTAATGAGAAAAATGGATACAGTATTTTCCCCCGCCTCTGGTGGGGCCTATTTAGTATCTGCAAGCTGTAATGAGAAAAATGGATACTTAATGATTTGGGGAAATACCGTATTAGTACGTGAGGTTCTAAGCTCACCGATGGCATGTTTGGAAATAAACTACAAGTTTCCTGAGTTTCAGTATAATCTTCTACACCTGGGTGAAAAAGTACCTTCCTTAATATATGACCGGGCTACAAAAGCTTCATGCCAGTGGCCCTTTGGTTAAACGTGAGTTTAGTTTGTTCACCAACACTGCAGGGGAAACAAAGAATAATTCAGGGCTTACTTGTTTTCTGTACCAAAGCATGTATCATGCTGTATTTTTTAAAAATGTAACAGGAAAAATGTAATCAGTACAAACTTAAAAAGATAAAAATTTTGAGGCGAGATCTTACTTCCAGAGAAGCTGATAGCAGAATTTCCATGGAGTCCATAGAGTCAAGACTTCATCTTTTGTTTGGTATTGCTAGGCTTGCCTGGGTTTACATCAACATAAGTACATTTTACAGAAATATTTTCTTTCATTGTTTTCTTGTTCCTGAAGCTTGGAAATGAATTTGTGGTTTTACTTGAAATACAAATACCAGTAAAAGGTTACAGATAAACCATCTTTTAAAGGTTTCTCTTCATTAAAGGAATATTTTTCTGATAAATTTGCACTGATGCTAGTCCTCTCATTGTCTGGTTTTGAATATTGTGTGAAATTGTTCACTCTGCTGCTAAAATCTGCTGGCAACCTTTTGAGTGCATTTTGGCTTTTGAATTATGAAGGTGAAGAGAGCATCAGAGAGACATAAATGACTGGATTAGGTAGACTTCAAACATTTCTACTACAGGGGCACTTTAAAATGTGTAGGCAGTTCTTTTGTTCAGTTTTGTAACGAAGAAAGCTTAGCTCTGAATATCTGATGAATTTTTGAGAATCGGATCTCAACTGCAAGAGTTAATTTGGGTACCTTTTTTGCTGATACTGTGTGGAAATCTAGAGTTTACTCTTGTGTACAGAAGCTATTGACTGTGCCGTTGGTGTGAATCTCCTTGTCAATTCCATGCTAATCTGATTTTGGAGCAAATAGTGGAGACCCTGGCCTAGGACCATGCTAAGTTAAAGGAAGGAAGTCATCCTAGGTGTGTGTGTTAGGAAGGCTGAGAAGAGCCCATACCTGAGACTGCCTGAAAGAGGTGATAACTATGACACCACAGTAACTAAATACTGTTCTGGTATTCCTTTCATATGTAATCTTAACTTTCTAGCTAGCTGACGCAAAGCCAAATACCTGTATAAATTCCCTGTCCAAATCTAGGCATGACGCCACGCAAACTCTGCGCTGCTTCAGGGACCCATGTGGTTTGGATGCAGGTGAGTCTAGTTCTCATGGCTTAGTGCTTCCGTTTCTGGGATTAAGATAGATAGCTTTGGTGTCTTAGATATATGTGCAAAACATTACTGTTCATAAATTGTGTACATCTGAAGGCATAGTTCTTTTTATAGTTACCTGAATACCTATGGAAAAGCTTCTGGCTGAAGTTTTGTGCCTTTTGCTCCATCACAGCCATGTGGTCAGTGTGGTCTGCTAGGGAGGCTGACAGACCCCCCTGCTGAAGTGCTTATAGTCTGAGGCAAGTGACAGACAAAGGATGTGATTAAGATTTAAAAGGCGAAAGTAGGTACGCGCACTTCATAATATTTACTTTAGTATGTATTTGCAAATTTGAAATACTGCAAACAAATAGAACAACAGCTAGCCTCATCCATCTTTCCCAATAACCATCGTCTGACCCCATAGATGCCCCCATTAGGAACTCTCCTTGTGCTGCAATGCTTAAGGGAATGATCAGGTTTCATGGTGTGAAAAACAGGGGATGATCCAGAGGTCAAAGACCTGTAGTCTGGCTTCCGAATGCTATGTTGTTAAGCCAAGTTTGGAATATTGTGGTGTTCTTGTGCAAATTGGAATAGGTCAGAGGAGCCATGACAATGGTGCGAAGTCTCCACTTGCAGTAAGAAATTAGAAGCACTATAAAGGAAGAGAAATATTAACACAGTACCTGCCTCTATAAAGAAAATGTTTCTGATGTTAGAGGACTTCTTGGCCTAGAAATGAGAGATGTAGCAGGATGCAATGACTTGAAACTCAGTCTAGACAAATGTTGTCTTATATCTGTAAGATACATGTTTAGTTATAGCTTGCTGTTAGAACAACTGAACAAGAAACAGTATATTATCCCTCCCTTGCAGTTTTTAAATTAAGATAGCTTAATCTTTCTGAAGGATTATTTAGGTCAGTGACTAATCAGGGCCTGATTCAACGTATTTTATTCAGAAAGTCAGATTAAATGGATGATATGTCTGAGGAATTTCTTTCACTTGAAAAATAAGCCTAGAAGGGGTAGCTATCTTAATAATTAGCCAGCTGATGTATTGATTCATTTTATGTATTATTTTACTAGGTAGCGAGTCTTTTAACACCTCTTAAATGTATTTTAGATTTTAAAATTGTATTCTATAATATTAACTTAGCAAATAGCTAAAATCAAAGGCCCAGCTCATAATCAGAATACTGTAAAATTCATAACCTTTGGTAGATGATCCATTTTGGGGAAAATTAAGAAAGTAACAAATATTTGGTGCTCTCTACCAACACAGATTGTCTCGCTGTGTTACAGGAGTTGTAGGATTGGGCTTGTGGACACAGACATATTTCATTGGCATTACTTTTTTTGGCTGAAGAATGTGAGAAGTTCTATTAGTGAGACGATTATTAGAATACTTTTTCCAGTTCTGATGCCAGTAGGAAAAAAAGACATTATGTCACAATCGAAGAATACGTCCCAATCAGCACTGAACCTGTTTGGATCATATTTCAAATGACTTAGAGTCAAATAATTTCAGACAGAGTATATTAGCAAAAGAAAGAGCCATTACCGCTTTCCAATGAAATGAGAAACATAACTGAGTACCACCTGCCACAAAGGCAGTACAATGATCCAGATGGTTATTTATTTTCAGATAGGGAGGAAGAATGGAGAGAGGAAAAACTGCTGCCAGAATTTATGGGGTTTTTTTTCCTCCCCTTTGTTACCTTCTTGTCAGAATAGTTTCTCTAATTACAGGGAAAAAAAATGTCTTAGGAATAGGTTGTATTGATGGGATGTTCCTTTTGATACCTAAAGGTAGTCCACTTTTTTTTTTATTAGCATGAAATGCAGTTTCAGAGGTCCACCCATTACTATTTCATCTTGTATAATCAGTAAGACAAAAATAGAATAAAAAGGATTTTGGCTGCTTGGTAGTGATTTCTTTTCCCCTGAAGCTTAGAATTAATTTGCAATTTTCCTTGAAATAGAAATACCTGTAACAAGCTGAATATAACCTGCAATTAAAAAAAAATGTTTCCCCTCATTAAATAAATATTTTTATGATAAATATGCACAATATGAGCATTCAAACTAATGTGTATTGTGAGTACATTTTATTTACCAGCGTATTTGAGGCTTGAGCTTAGGCAGGAATCAAGAGAGGGCAAGCTGATCTAACCCTAGTCCTTTCCGGTTTTGAATATTGTGTGAAATTGTTCACTGTGCTGCTAAAATCTACTGGCAGCCTTGTTAGGTCTGACAGAGTACAGGTTCTTTTTGGAATTAAGAACATGGTGAGGGTATTGGACATAGATGTAAAGGAGTGAATTAGGTTTCAAACATATTGCTACTATGGGGACGTTTTAAAGTAAGTAGTTCTCATGCTCAGTTTTGTAACTGACAACTATGTGGAAAAAAA